TTTGTGACCTTAAAATAAAACATTATTGCATATCAAGCCTTTAAGTTGTCCTTATGTCCCAACTGCATTGTGTAAACTCATCAGCTGTGAAAAGTTTTGTGTACCATATAGTATTTAGAGTACTGTACCAGCCTGACATTTTAACTTGGAAACAAATGATGTGGTATATTAGCTTTATCTGGGAAGTGCTTTAACAGAAGACAGAAAATATGACACTGAAATATGAAGAAACATTGGGATAGCAAATGGTGCCTTCCAAAAGCTAAGCAAAGTATTAAGGAATAGAAATAATTGTTCTTTTCCCACCCTTCATTACATTGCACAACCATTATGCAATGACAATACCTCATAAATTATGAACTATTCTGGTTTGATCTCATGGAAAAAGTGGAAAAAGACTAATTGATTTCAGTGAAAAAAAGAAAAGATAGGGAATAAGTAAGTAAGTGAGTTTAACAACTCCTGCCAATACCTTTTAAATAATAGACTATTCTGTTTTGATGGCTTGAAAGAAGGTGAAAAAGACACTATTTGATTTCTGTGAGAAAAAGAAAGAAGCGTGAGGTTGTAATATTTTGTTAAAGTTGCTAAGCTCAAATATTTAATGATGTGATAGGGGAATTTCTACTCAATCATTAACTTAAGAATTAAGATTCATCAGAATATTAAAATATGAAAACTGAAATTTTCAAATTAAATATTATTTCTAATTTTGTAAATGCTTTTTCTTAGTAATATATATATAAAAGGATGGTAAGAATCCATTACATATTAATAATGTGATCTGTTTTGTTCTACTGATGTAAGATGGGAAAATATGCAAAATTTTGCCTTATGTAAATTTATAGAAGATGAGATCATGAAAGTGTAGCTATCTGAATTAATTAAAATGTTTAGGAAGGAAAACCTATTATTTAAGTATGTAAGTAAAATGGTGGATGGAATTATTTTTAAAGTTTCTTTGAGATTTTTTATTTCATCCATGTTTTTTGGCTAATATAAATCAGGAGTAATCTCCCTTGTTTTATGATTACCTCCCTTTGGATAACTCTTTAGTTTGTAGAAGACTATAAATAGTCACTACATTTGCATCAATTATTCTAAGCAGAATCTTAGGCCGCCTCGGCGTAGTGTAATGGTTAGCAAGCTTGACTCGCTAGATCAGTTACAACTAAAAAATGAGTTCGATCCTCACTAGGTGCCCCATACATTCGGCCTTGTGCCACATCTAAGCTATGCTTAGAAAATAACTAAGCAGAATCTTAAGCCTTCTCTTGCTCTCATTTATTACAGTAATATTAAAGAATTTGAATAATTGGTATTTTGGGGTGGGAACTTGGGATATAATGGGTTGTGAATTGCTGGGGTTATGGGTCTTTATGATACCCTATTTACTAAAGATAACCAATCTATCCAACCTCTTTTAACAAAAGGATAAAACTCAAACCAGTTAGGGAGGTTTAATGTTATTTTTGGAGCAAAACCTATTCCTTCTATGTTTAACTTCTTTTCTCCATAAAAAATTTGGAAAAGATAACAATTCTACACATTAAAATTTTTTAATGTTCTTATATTTTGATATACATATATCAAATTTGGAATTCTTTATATCTTGCATATTGTTAGAACAGAATCGTTTACCGCTACCATTTTCTTTACGTTTTCATATCGACACTTAGTAATGTTTAGGTCACTGCAAATCCTGTTGTTGGTATGTTTTGCCATAAAATGCTTCTTGCTATACCAAAATGTTTCTCGTTGTACTTGGCTCTTTGCCCAGTGACACATGCAATAACATAAAGGTTTGAACTGATATGGATCACATATTTTCATTGCCTAGAGAAATAATAATGACATCAGATTAATAAATTGCTGTTTATTTAACTCATGTTATCACAGATAGATATTATTAAACAAATGCATGAAAACCTTTATTCACTATAATACATATATTAGGATAGCAACTTCCAGCAGAGCTGTATTTAGACCTGAACAGGCCTCTGGACTAATAGAATTTTGGGGCCTCTTCATTACATATGTCCTTTATGTCTGTAAATGAAAGGTATATTTTTAGATGATTCTTTTTTGGTGAAAAACACTTCAACTAAAATTTTGAATGATTTTGGAACTCATACAATTTATTTCATTAGCAATTTCATATTTTTATCCAAACTTTAAAAGACTCACTCCAACTAGCAGAGCCCAAATACTCTAAATGTTTTCAAATTAGTTTGAAAGAGACCTATTAAATCTGAAAATAAATAAATCTTTTCTGTTCTTATATCTTTATTTATTTTTAGTTTTATCAGGGTAGGGCGTGGTCTAAAACTAGAGGGTCCCCCAAGGGCCATCTAGTCTTGGAAACACAGGGCTACTGCCCATACTAGCCCATATGTAAGTCCATCACTGGTAGTAAAGTAAAATACGATGAAAGTAGCTAAACCTGTAGGAATTCCATGGGTATTGATAACTAATTATCCATTATATCATTCTACAGCTTTATCTTCTCACTCTTTCCCTTATCCTATGCAATCTTTGTTGCTTGCCCATGCTTTTTATCTGGATTATTTCATATTTGAATAAGAAATGAACAGCTATTTTCTACTGTATCATCTCTTCTATATTTCTTTTGTTCTATCTGGCCATAAAGAATTTTAATGCACCACAGTTTTTATAGTTGTCCAGCCCTACCTGTGTTTCAGTCTTTCATTTATTCTTTATTAACAGCCAGCAAACAAGATTACCTCTCTTTCTTTCTTTCACCTCTATCCTATCATACTCTGCGTGTCTGCATGTGTATATATATATATATATATATATATATATTCCTTTCATTGGCATTAAATGTATTTGGAAGAAATTAAAAGATAGACATATACAAGATTTGTCATGTAACTAACTGTTGTAATAGAATGTCCCACTTTCCCTACCACCTGTTGTGGACTGACTATATCAGTAGATATATATAGTGAGCACAGAATATACCTGGCAACTTGCTTCAGGAATTACTAGCCTGCTAACTGATTCCCTGTCTTTCAGTAGTGTATTCTCTTTTACAATAAACCTCTCTTTCTTTCACCTATGCCTGTGTTGCTGTTCCTTTCATTCGAGTACCACTTTTGTCTGTTTGGAACATCTTTAAGAACCTATTTTGAATATTTTGAGAATTAGTTTTATGGATTTCATATAGCTTGGTAACCAGACAGAAAAGATATTAAGTGCATGTGTCAGCAGATACTCTCCAATAAAGTTACTCAGTCAAAAATTGGGCTTGTTTATTGTGTTATTATCATATTCACAGTAAATAGACATAAAACTTTGATTGAAGTTTGAATATAGACCTGTAGAAACTATTTGAATTTTAAGAAAGCTGTGATTTCAGCATAATTTTATTATATATTTTCTTCCTGTTTTCACTTCAGCCACCGAAGCATAATGTCAAATTTATCTATATATAAAATTCTGTGACTTTTGTTAGTTCATCCATCTATCAAACCCTCTAAAATAGTCATAAATTGACTGATCAAAACCAAATATTGGGGAGAATTGCAAACAGGTAAGGGGGTACAAAATACAGTTAGTTTTACTAGGGTGCATAGCTTAGTATAATAAATTTTCATTAATATTTTTTTTGAAAAATTATAAGCTTTATTATTTAACATACAAAATACTCATGCTATTTTAAAAAGAATTTAATGAATTAAATAACAAATACTTATTTAATAAAAATGCAATATTGTGTTCTACATATCTTTTCTTTAAGATTTCATATAAACAAGAATCCAGTTTCCAGTTCGACCTGTGCTTGCAAGAACTATAAACAAATCACAAAGCCAAATACTTCAAAAAGTTGGAATTTGGCTCTAGAAAGAAATATTTACACATAGCTCTTTGCTTGTTGTATTCTCAAGAATAAGAAATCTTAAGAATTTATTCTTTGCTCTTAAAAAGGAAAAAAATAAATTTTCTTAAAAAATGTTGTTTACCATGACGTCCTATAAAGTTAAATTAAAGAAATTATTAAACTGTGAAGTAAGGTTTTTGTCAAAGTATTTTTCCAAACAGATCAGCTTATTCAAATTCCATTGATTGGTTTTTGAAATCTTAAAAAATGTTAGTGATAACTTCAACAATATTGAATAATGTGAGGATTTGAACATGTATCAGCATGTTGCAAAAATGTCCTAGTCATAGTAGAAACTCCTTTTCAGTATGTCAAACATGATTATTTTCTTCTCTCCTCCCTGTCTTTACTTCAACTGCTCTCAATGTCTTAACAACACACCAGCTAAAAAAAGAAATAATGAGTGTCTTTTTTTTTCTCCCTTTTTACTGCTGCTGACTATTACCCATAATCCCTTTGTTTATACCCTACATACCATCCAAATCTCAAATACTTTCTTTTCCCCTTGTCACAAGAACCCCACTGCTATGCACTTTTATTTACAAATGCTTTCAAAGATGGTGCAGGGATAGAAACCCAGATAAAATTTTGGTATTAATGTTACAAACTAGGCTGTGAATATGTTGAAAGTGATACATTTTATGGAAATTCTTCAACAAGTAGAATATCCAAAAATGTTGAACATCAGTGATTGATAATTTGAAAATTAGAAGATCTGAGAATTCCAAGAACTCTCAGGAAAATATCCAACTATTTTGCTTGCTTGGACTGTCCATTCTTCATGTAATCTGCAGGGACATTTGGCAAAACATTACATTATTGAGGTCTGTTAGCCCCACTCTTACAGTACAGATTTTGATCCCTGTAACTTGTGGCTTTTCCCAAAGCTAAAATTTGAAGTTAAGCAATGTTGAACCTGATCAGTACCTAAATGGGTAACCACTGGAGAATACCAGATGTTGTAATCTCGGATGTGTGGGTGATATAATAGATAAAGGCATGGAATGAGAAATTTGAAAGTTGAATTCTAATCTGTTTCTTCCCCCTCTCTCTTTCTCTCACAGGCTTGGTTTATTTGTATCTTTCTGTCTAGGCTTATGACCATATCATGTTGAAACACCGTTTCCTGTATGATCACCAAAGTTAAGCAACATTGAGCTGGTCAGTACCTAGATTGGTAATTGCTTGGGAATACCAAGTGCAGTAAGCTTGGATGTGTAGGTCATGTAATGGATAAAGAGTCAGAATTGGAAATCAGAAAACTGGATTTCAATTCCAGTCTGTTCTCTCCCCCTTCTCTATCTATCCATCATTCTGTCTCAGTTTATCTTTCTGTTTAGGCTTACAGACACATCACATTGAAACACCAGTTTCTGTATGATCACCAAAGTTAAGCTACATCAAGCTTGGTCAGATGAGTGACCACTGGGGAATACCAAGTACTATAAGTGTTGATGTAGTGTAATGGATAAAGGCTCAGAATGAGGAAGCAGAGTTGAGTTCGAATTCCAGTTGGGTTTGTTATATTCATTTACATGCAAATACCATTGGGAAAAGTATGAATCCACATCTCCTCCTCCCAACAATGGGTTAAATAGTAAAATTTGTAACAGGAAATCATTATTATTGACAAAATATTTTCACAATCCAAAAATATGTTTTGGCTTTAAATAACCTGCAAAAAGTTGATAAGCCATAAAAAAAAAAAAAGATCAATCAATCTAAGCTAAAATTACCATTGAATATTAAAAGATTTCTGTCTTTGGGTTAGATTATTGTAGATGCTCATTTGTTAGTGTAATTAAACAATATACATACAAACCCATTTGGAATGAGATACAAGATTTGAAGTGAAATGAATTTAATAAATTTATATATTCAAACAATTTGAATTTAAAAAAAAAATCTTTTCACTCAAAGCAAGATGATACTGTGAGTGAAATAAAATGAAAAATTAGTAAGGAGAAAGGACAATAAAAGAACATAATTCAGGAAGACAGAAGATAATGTTTGATTTTGTTTTAATTTCTGGAATGAGAAGTTATCATTATTTACACTATTACAATATTCGTACTAGAGGAGGCATAGTAGATTAATGGATTGCGGCATTGGAGAGCCAGGTTTGAATTCCAGTTGAGTTTATTACATTCACTTACATACTAAAACACTTGGAAAAGGTACGAATCCATCTCTTCTACCCCCATCTATGAGTAAATAGTAGGACAAATTGCTAGCTCATTCATTGACAGCTCCCAAATAGATGTGTCATAATTTAACTCTTAATTACTATTGTTCCCAGGTTCACCCTGACCTGGAGTGGTAACACCTGTTAGGGTGTCTGCTATGGGCAAATAATGAACCCCCAAACAAGTTAAAACATTATGAAAATATAAAAATACATTTTTGTCGTAACAATATTAGCAATAAGTTTTTGTAGTAAAAAAATTGCCAGCAATAAATATTTTTACAGAAAAAAAATTAAATTTTTGAAAAAGATAAATGAATTATCAAAGCTCCCAAGAAAATTAAATTTCAACATTAAATGACCCATAAGAAGTTGATATGCCATTAAATAAACCAAACCAAACCATATATAAATAAGGAAGGAAGCAGTACAGTTTTTCTGTGCCTCTTTGGGGGTCAGCATACAGACAAAAGTTGAGTATCATAGAATGGTAATTCTTTGTTGGCAAGCAATAGACTAATTCTTCCAAGGTGGAAACAGCTGCTGACTTTCAGTTGTTTACTTTGGCTATTTATCCTTTCTCAGAGGTTTAAGATTGGGGATCCTGAGAATTATATTTGGGTAATTGGATTAACCCATTATTCATCCTTTTAATCATGTGTGGTGTTTACACCTGTATTTGCATGTGGGAAAAGTTCCTGTGACTGTGCGCTTGTGTGTTGATCCTTACTTCCTTAATGTATCAATCTATTTTTAGTAAAGAAAAAATATTTGGTGAAATTTTGAAGGTATAACAGATGAATGAGAATGTGATGAGGCAGCTGATAGTAATTCTGAAAGTGAACTTTGTAGACTGTTTTGCATAGTGAAAGGGTTACTAGAATAATTATGTGAAGGCCCCCAAAGAATAATTTGAAGCAACTACACCACTATTATCCTGGATTGACTACTCTCATGTTAATATTTGATGGGTGGATTATTTCTGGACAAGCCACATATGAAAAATATTAAATCTCGTAAAATTTATAATTCTATTGGTAGAAAAAATTTAGTTGTACAATTTCAAATACACACATGCACACCCACATAAGAATACAAATATATATATATATATATATATACAGGGTCTATACTGGGGTTGACAAAATTGAAGAATTATATTTTCGTTTGTCGAAATAAGCTTATTCCCCATATGGAGTGATTTTGGATTTTATTGTGTATTAATTTTTGCTCTGTAATAATAAATACATTGAGCTCTTTTTGTGGATCAGTTTTAATATTTTATATTACTAGGATCCACTTGGCTTATATACCAATGGATTTATTACCTTTACTATATATATATATATATATATATATATAGAGAGAGAGAGAGAGAAAAAATTATAATGCATATATTTTTAATCAGACATTATTACTTCAAACTTTCACATTTTTATTTATTAGACAGTGTGTGCAAGCCTATAGCCATAATATACACTGTTTCTCGGTCTGTTGATGAAAGACACAGGTGCGTCTGAAAATTCTGAAATTAAAACCTTTCTTTCCGTGCTCCATTTCTGTTATATAGTTAATAATTAATATTTAATAAATGCTTATCATACTGATTATATTGGTACCCTTTCGTTTGCCATTGTTTTATTAACTAACCTATCTATTTTATATATATATATATATATATATATATATAGAATAGTATTGGGGAAATTGTATGACAAAGTGGCAAGAGTTTATTTGTGACATGTTGAGGCTGATGAAGTCCTGAAGGACAAAACGTGTCACAAGTAAACTCTTTCCTCTTTGTCATATATATATATATATATATATATATATAATCACTTTAAACATTATTTTTAGTGGATACTTGTATTTGTGCAGGTGCTTCATTTATTTATTAAACAGTATATTTATTTGTTTCATCTACCAGCTTGAGTGTTTGAGAAATATTATTAAAGAAAAATGTGCTCTCTAACAGGATTTGAACTTGCTGTATGCTGTGCTGAGAGAACTGTTATTAGATCCAATGTGG